ACACCAAAATCCCCCCCCAACAAACCTTACACTTAACGCAATGCAGTCAGGCAAATACCATTCTCCTGGGGGCTGCCAAACCCAGACATGTCCATCAGATTGCAGGACAAAGAAGCATGATTCGTCACTCCAAAGAACATGTCTCCACTGCTCTAGAGTCCAGTGGCGGTGTGCTTTACACCACTGCATCCTACACTTTGAAATGCACTTTGTGATGTAAGGCTTGGGTGCAGCTGCTCGTCCATGGAAACCCGTTCCATGAATCTCTCTATGCACTGTTGTTGTGCTAATCTGAATGCCACATGAAGTTTGAAGGTCTTTAGCTATTGACTCTGTGGACAGTTGGTGACTTCTGTGCACTGTGCGCTTCAGCATGCACTGACTCTGCTCTCTCATTTTACATGGCCTACCACTTCATGGCTGAGTTGCTGTTGCTCCCAGTTGCTTCCATTTTGTTATAATACCACTAACAGTTGACTGTGGAATATTTAGTAGCAAGGAAATTTTATGGATGGACTTATTTCACAGGTGACAACCACCTTCACAGTACCAAGCTTGAATTCACTGAGCTCCTGAAAGCAACCAAATTCACAAATATTTGTAGAAGCAGTCTGCATACCTAGGTGCTTGATTTTATACACCTGTAGCCATGGAAGTGATTGGAACTCCAAAATCCAATGATTAAGAGGTGTCCCAATACTTGGGCAATATAGTGTATTTGAGATAACTCGGATGTACTGGGACATGCAAATATGTATCTTTCAAGTCCAATGACAACATCCAGTCTCCTAGTCTGATGGCCTGCATGACTGTAAGGGTTCCATCCAGAAACTCTGAACTCTGATCTTCCTGTTCAGATCTTTCAGGTACAAGATTGGTCTCAAGTCACCTGTTTTTTTCTTTACAAACAAAAGTGGAGAATAGAAACCTCGATACCTCTCTTAAATCGGGACTAGTTCTATGGCTCCTTTGTGCAAAAGTGACTGAATGTACTTGAGTACTACTTGCAGTTTTTGTTGGCACCAAGGAAGTTTTGTGATTGTGACATGTGTTACATCCGGGGAAGAGGAAAATTCCCAACAGGTTGAACCACACCCATGACCCAAGGGTCTTTGATGTGCTTCCCCTAAACCTGAGCAAATCTGTGCAACCTGGCGCCTGCAACACACATCTGGGCAAAGAAACCTTCAAAAGAGCTTTTGCTGCTGCTGGACAAGAGCTGATTCTGGCTTATCAAACCATGCCAATGATGTCTAGGTGACTTCCACCTTCTTCTATAATCTTTACCAGGCCTGTAGAACCTGGCCTCCCTTGGCCCAGAGGCACATTGCCTTCTTTCTGGCTGTCTGGCATTGTCTAGGTTTCACATCCTGAGGGATTAAACCTGATTTGCCTCCCGTAGCTTTAGATAATGCCGACTCCAACTTGCTGCCAAATAAGGCTGTACCATCAAAGGGAATATGGCACTAGTTAGACTTTGAAATGGGATCCACAGTACACAGCTTAAGCCATAAAGCTCTTCTTGCCATCATTGAGAATAGCATAACTCTGAAAGAGCGACAAAGTTATCAATGGTGGCTTCACCCACGAAGTCGCCAGCCTGCTTGATCTCTCCTAGTATCTTCATAACAGAAGAGGGTTCAACCCCCACCAAAAGGTCTGATTCCGCCTTTTCGGCCCCAGCCCTTAGGGCCTTATCTATTGAAGAGAGTGCTAGTGGCAGTCTACAGGCACTGCCGGTAGATGTGTAGATTTTAATTCATATCCATATCCATTCTTCTCTCAAGACTATCCTTAAAGGATACAGAATCATCCATTGGAAGTGTGACATGTCTGCCCAGTCTAATGACTGCATCCACCAATGAAGCCACCTCTAACAGATGGATTTCTTCCTCCCTAAATGGGTACATTTTGGCAAATCTGTTGGCCAGCGATGGCTTCTTGTCCACTTTCTTCCATTCATCATAAATTATATCTCTGGCTTTGTCTATTAAAGGAAAAGAGAGTGCAGACTTCTTTAATTGAGGATACTACCTCCAAGCCTTTGCTGGCTGCGTCACCTTCTCCTCCCAATTGAAAGCTTCCCTTACTTCCCTCTCAAGGGGTTGGATCAAGGCAAAATCAAAACCAACCTCTGCCAGGGACTCCTCTCCTGATATAGATTCCCTTGGGGGAACTCTTCTGCGTCAAAGGAGGGTTTGAAAGAGAAGTAGGGGCTTGGCTTAACAGTTAACTCTTGCAAAGATTCTTTCACTGCTTGATTAAAGAGATCATATACTCTTTCTCTGTCTCTTTATCTGTCACTGCCTCCAATAAACAAGGCCAACACAACACCTTTCCTGGGAAGCGCCAACTGGCCTCAACCCAAACACGCTTATCGTGCACCCCCCATTCCATTATACCCCTCCTGGTGGGCTTTTGCAAGAGTTGCAGCCTCTTCAGAACTTGCATCTGGTACTTTCTGCCGATAATGATATGGCACATCTCTGCTTCTGGAGCAGCGGTGTTGATGCTGAGGGCTGAAAAAGATTTACAATTTGTTAGCCGTGTGCTCTTTTGTAAGATAAAGCAAACTACTTACCTGACCTTCACCTTAAACTATGTGGCTGATCTCTGGGAGAGCTCATAGCTGTGCTTTACAGAAGCTGTGAACAACAACAACAAGCTAAGCATATTGGATAAGGCATTAATGACACCATGAGACAGAAAATATCTTACCTCTGAACAAGATGAATCTGACACAGCACTGACAGGTCATGCACTGTTAAAGAATGATCTGTAAGTCATCCATTACACTACAGTATATGATTAGTACAGCATAATGAAGCAGTCAGACTTACCTGGCACTGTGTGCTTCCACTCTTTTTGTCTAGCAAACTCTCTCTCCAGCCCTGACTGTTTATCAGGATAAAAAGAGGATTCTGTTCCACCCTAATCACAGATGAACCTAATATTTAGCTGGGATAGTGCCATCTTGCTGCTCCTCTGCCAACTGGAAGTCCGCTGGGCCCCATCTTGGATAGGGGCAGCCTGCAGTATGGCCGTCGGCGGTATCAGAGCGCCATTTTAGAGGAAGACAGCCACCCCTGCTCCCCAGAGATAGCAAAACATGAATACACAACGCAAAGCATATCAAACACACTGGGGACACATAACTGAAGCAGCCTGAAGGTCCAACCGGCTGCAGACATCCACAGTTCGCAGCGATGCAAAAATGGATAAACTGACACAGACATCACTGTTACTTATACTCAGAGACCAGTATCCTGCGACCCCAGTACCTGGTCATGGGGGAGGCTTTCTTCTTATAGGAGCTTTACAACCTGTACGGGAGGAGCTTCATCACAGGAGAGGCTGAACCTGTGTTGATAGGCCAGATGAATCTGGCAAGTTGAGGGTAAAAGTTTTGCTTTAAAAGTTCAATAACTGGCTGAGCAGTGAGGGAAAAAAAGGAGAATTCCGCCTTGGGGGAGGTGACTCATTTATATAGCATAACCGGTCTTGGGATTGGGCAGGGGGTGGAGCCTACCCTGCGTGCATGCTGTCATGCTTGTGTCAGGAAACTTAGCTTTAGTGAATACGCAGACATATGTGCACATCTGAGTTTGACAGGCATGCAGAGGCGGGTGCATGGCCATGAACATGGACTATGTCAGTGTTTGTACTTCATTCATACCTATGTGAATGGGGCCTTATCACTAAACCAGATCAAACTGACTCTATGGCTTTTCTCAACCCCTCTTTTATAGTGAGCTACTAAATTATCTGGCTTCACCCCATTATTGACTGCTGTGAGGATGCTCACCACAGTCAAAGGCTGTGCAGTGTATTATGGAGAAGTGCCAAAAGTATATTTGCCTAAAATTTGCAACTCAAAGTAAATGTGAATCCTAACAATCCACTGTGAATTTATGTTCAGACAAATCAATGTTTTTTAGTTTTTACTGATTGCATATTTGTTCCATGTCCATAGCGCATCAGTTAGTGAAGCTGGGATCAGACTGATAGACCCAGTGTCTATGACTTTCAAAACAAAATCAAAATGGCAGCTCCTACACTTCTGCCCCCATGGGTCCATTTTAAATAAAGATGTAGACACCTCAAAAATAACTTCCTCCCAATTTTTGCATACTTTACTGTATATAAGGATACCAAAAATTGCAAGTTTAGAATCTAAATTGGTATTTTATCTCTACCTCAAATAGCTACTTTTTCCTGCCCTCCTCGATACATACCTTCATAGAACCTCCAAATTATCTCCAGGCAAAAGCTAATATTTTAGGAAGTGCTTCTTCATGTGATAGTCTTTGTACGTTTGCTTATAAAGACATTTTTATGGTCACAATGAACAACCTACCTTCCTTAGACAACAGCTATTTCTTTCCCTGTCTGACAAGATGAAATGGACCACCAGTTACCCTAGGTTCACACCTAAGCATTTTCTTCAGTGTTTTACAGAAACGCAGTACAGTCCATTTAACATGATTTCCTACGGGACAGGTTCACATCTCTGTGTTTTCACCCAGTGCATTTTTTGGAAAGGATCAGGGACTTTTTTGAACACAAAACGTTGCATTTTTGGTTCTATAGACTTCAATGGGAACGCTGCAAAAAAGCATGCATTGCGTTTTTGCTGCATTTTTTATGCGTTTTTGCTGTCTTTCTTTTATGCGTTTTTATGTGCTTTGTGTTTAAAATCTGTCTAGCAACAAGTACATTTTTTGAAAAATTAAAAAAAAAACCCCTGCAAAATGCATCAAAAACGCAGCAAAAAAAGTGGTAAAAACACAAAACACAGTGCAGAAACGCATCAAATGCAACCTGCATAGATGTGGACCTATCTTAAATGGTTCTGCCAGAAGTAGTGGGAATAAGACAGACTGAACCCGTAGCCCTTCTGCAAATGCACAGTTTAGTGTGTATTGCTAGAGAGGTTTTTTTTTTTCATGGGAGTGTGCATGTGATCAGCACAGGGCCAATCAGCACTGTCCAGACACAGATCAGGGGTTTTGCATCCTCCTAGAGCAGAAAGAAAACTCTTCTTACAAGCTTTAACCAGTGCTCTGCTGGACACTGATAGAAGTCACAAGACTGTTCTAAATGCTGATGAGAAAAGGTATTTAGCAGTTTATATTTACAAAAATAATTGCAATTCAATGTTCTGTGTACTGTGGGAGACCAGATATAGTGGATGCAGGGTCCTGGGTTTAGTAACACTTTAAAGGAGCCATGGTTAATAAGTGTGGTTAAACCAGTGTAGTTTAGTCATAATGAGTATAAAAGAACAGCAAAGGTGTGTACGATGTTTTCGGGGGCATGGCTTGGCACTCAACGGAAATGGCTGCTTGCTAGAGGAGCTCCATGTGACAGGTTGGATGGAAGAAGAGACAGGGCCATTTCCTGGCTGGAAACAACAACTGCCTCACATACTACACATTTCATCCTCATTAATACTCATTTAGAGGATTTGGATAATAGAGGAAGATGACGGAATATCAGAGTGAGAGGTGTAGCAGAGTCAGTGAACCCTGATTAAATACAATAGGCCTTACAAACGATTTTTAATGACCTCCTTAAAAGACCTAAAGATACCCCCATAGAGTTTGAGAGGGCACACAGAGCCTTGAGGCCGCTTCATGCTGAATCTGCTCCACCAAGGGACATAATTTGCTGCCTTTTAAATTTTACACTCAAACAAGAGATCTTATTTAAGGCCAGGCAGAATGAAACAATTACCTTTAATGATCATACAATTTCTCTTTTTCAAGACCTCTTTCCTATAACCGTGCAAAACAGGAAAACTCTATGTCCCTTACTGGATGTGCTCAGGGCTAAGAATATATCTTACAGATGGCTCTTTCCTTTTGCACTTGCCACTACCTATGAAAACAAGCAATTTTATTTGAGAATGCCTAATGACTTACAGGCTTTCTGTGAGGTCCTCCATCTACCTCTCATAGAGCTACCGGAGTGGTACCAGGAATTCTGGACCCTCCGCTTGATCATACTCCACCTCATACACCTCAATCCACTCCGATGAAACCACTGCCTAAGAAAGAGAAGACATTTTTTGCATTATGAATGCCTGTTCCAACAAGCTTGTTGAAACAATTTTTTTTTATATGTTTTGATGACTTTAACTTTCCTGCTTTAATTTTTCAGCAGTTTGTCTATTAATGTTAAAGACTAAAGCTATGCTTTCTACATTGAATATATATTTGCATATTAATCTAAATATTACACTAATATGAATAGTGCTTTTTTTAACATCTGCCTTGGATACCATTGTTTCATTATACATAGTGGACCAGGCGCTATAAGATTGCACAGCTCTGATTCTCCTCCTCTATTTATGTTTATATTTATCTTTCACTAACATATTTTAGGTTACATTAGTTGCTTCACTTATAGGAATTGGGCAAATACTGTATATAACCCTAGTGCCCTTGATGGGCTTTTCTATAGCTGCTCAATATAACCTTTAAGTAGGGGATGGCAATCAGAGCTAGGTGGGCCGCGGTTCGGCCGTTAATAGTTACAGGATTTTAACCTAAATGTTGACCTGATTCAAAACCTGTTTTTTGTTGGTAGTTATGGAGGGTTATAATGATCAGCACTGATCTTGAGACACATATCCCATCATTACTGTTATTTTTAATAAGTCTAGTACTAACTATATGAGACATTTCCATATATTTGTTTAGATTATGTTATACTGTTAGATAAGGGCTGCGGGCCCTATGGGCTTTCTTTGGAACAATATAAAGTTACTTTGTTGATAATAATTGGTGATTTCAACACCACCGAGGTCCTCCCACTTCTCCCACTTGGTGCAATTTTAACCTTGTACTTCATCTTATTCAGCAGAGCCTAGGATTTTATGTCTAATTATTTAGTTGAGGTTGCTAATTCAAACTTCTTTGCTAGAACCCCAGCTATCTGAAAGAGAGACATTTAATTTCTCCTTTCCTTTCTTCTTTTCGCTTTCTTTATTTTTTCCTACTACTGTGCTTTTACAGGAAACACATTTCAAATCTGGCTCTGTCCCTAGACTAATTAGTAAACCTCAGTATTTCATGCAACGAATTCTCAATTGAAAACAAAAGGAGTGTCCATTCTTATAGGGAAAGAGTCACAGATGGACATCACCCATCAGATGATAGATCTGGAAGGCAGTTATCTCTTCCTTAAGGGCAAAATGGGAGGCCTTCCAATAACTCTGGCGAATGTATATTTACTGAAAACATGTAGTAGAGGAACTGAAACCCCTTCCAAGACACTTCTGATAAGAAATATTGCATTTCATTTGGAATGCTTAAGAAAATCAAAAACCTTTTAAGCTCTTTAACTCTAGCAGATACATGGTGACTTGCTAACCCTTCAGACAAAGATTTTACATATTTTTCACCATTACATAATAAGTTTTCACTTATTGACTATGTATTTTTTTTTCCACAAAGTTTATTAAGAAGACACAAAGCATACAAAAAGTACAAAGAGATATAATGTGCCAATGAAAATCGCAATGTAAAACAATTAACAAATACCATACATTGAGAGATGCTAAGGTAAACAGACAGAGAAAACGAGCTCATGTTGCGCATATTATTAATGATATTTGCATAGGGAAGATAACATATGATCACAGCAAGAGTGAAGGCACAAAATAACCATAACCATAATAGGGCGTAAAATATCCACAAGACAGGCGGGATCATTTGTTTGTTCCCCCATATGTCTTTCATCATATAAAAGCAGGGTAGAGGGGCAGAGGATATGAGTAGAGGCTCTAGACATCTTATAGAAGAAAGATGGTGTAGAGAGCTCTATGCTATCCATGAGATAGAACGGGGGCTACAATTAGTGGTTACCAGTGTATGAGGAGATGTCTTCTTGAATCAAATGAAGCACTTTTGCAGGTTGAGTATGGACATGGAAGTATGTCTCCTATGGGCAGGGGAAAGAGTGATGAGGGTAGGAGGAGAAAAGTAAGGTAAGACATGGAAAGAAGAAAGGAGGAAAGGGAAGGTAAAGTGGATGGTGGAAAAAGAGTCAGGGGGGAGGGTAAGGAAGGTTGAGGGATGGAGAGCCAGAGAGAGGGAAAGAGGGAGAGAAGAGAGAAAAAAAAAAGGGGGGTCAGAGGGGGAGGAAACTGGGGGGGTGTGGATAGGCATATTACATGTGTGGATGCTCCAGGGACAGAACTGTTATAATCAGCCCTGAAGGGGGCATAGGTATGAGTCAGACAATCGGGTGCATTGTAAATGAGTGTGTCTAGCTCCGACCGGCATAGGGGGTAGGAAAGAATTTCTCAACAGCCTTGAAAAGGTCGAGGGGTCAATGTGATGAAGAAAGCAATATGGGAATACAGGTCCGGCACAAAGTCAACTGGAAAGACCCATAAGGGAACGGTATTCAGAGGTCGTTTGGAAGTGAGTCCAGCAAGACCAGGTATGGGAAAATTTAGTTGAGTTATCTTGAGATGAAGCAATCAGCTCCTCCATCTCCGCAACTCTTCCCAAATGTGTGAGCCAATCTTGTATTGAAGGAGGGTGGGTAGATCCCCAAAGTCTAGGCGCATTAAGCATATGCATTGCCAGTGATCTGAAATATAAACATCTGGGAAAAGGGGTATAGTGGAGGAGAAATTGGGCCGGGGAAAAATCGAGAGGTAAAGTGGATACTGACGAGGTTATATGGTGTACCTCCTGCCAGAAGGGCTGGACAATTGGGCAGGACCACCAAATATGGAAAAGGGACCCTTCAGGTGCTCCACATCAACAGTTGTTGGGCAGAGAGGGATTAAAGCAATGGATTATAGAGGGGGTATTATACCAGCGGGAGGCCAGTTTGTATCCGTTTTCTTGCGTTTATACACTCAGCGTGCATCTGTGAGAGTATGTAAATATTTGGTCCCAATTCGAAGAAGATAAGTCTATATCCTGGTCCCTCCTATATGCTCGGCAAGTGGGGAGTGAATTAGGATTCCCGTCGCCAACAAGAAGGGGGTATGCTAATGAGATTAGGTGCCTCTGGGGTTCGGCTGTAGAGCAAATAGATTCAAAGGGGGTGAAAGGACGAATCCATTTGTGACGATGTGCATGAGATAGGAGAAAATGCCTAATTTGAAGGTAAGCCCAGAAGGGGAAGGTGTAGTCTCTCATGGTACTCGCCAAAGAAGAGCAGGATTTCAGTTGGCCTTTGTGGAAAAAGTGTTCAGCTTTTATCTGGCTATGTGGCCAATGTTCGGACAAAAAGGCCTTGTGCATGCCCAGGGGGAAATCTGGGTTTAAGCGGAGAGAGGTTAGTGGGTTAGGGGCGTCCGAAATGGAGGCCGACTTGCAGGCCAAAAGGAAGATTCTCAGGGTAGGTCCAATCAGTGGATGTGTGAGGAGGGCCTGAGGAGTATGTTTAGCCAGAAGCCAGGGGATTGATGCTATGGGACAAGAGGAGAAAGAGTTTTCTATTTGCACCCAAGCTTTGGTGGTCATATGAGTATGCCAATCTATGATTCTGGAGAGATTACAAGCCCAGTGATATCGTTGTAGGTCTGGGAGCCCAATCCCTCCTTTGGATTTGGGGAGTACCAGTTGGGAGAACGATATGCGCGGGCGCTTGTGGTTCCAAAGGAACAATGAACACATTCTTCTACACGAGGTGAAGAAGGCGGGCAGCAGTTCGATAGATAAGGTTTGATATAAAGAGAGGAGGCAGGCAGGGGAAAATGTTCATTTTTAGTATAGCAGCCCTCCAGAACCAGGAGAAGCATGGACGGTGCCACTTAGTTAGATCTTCCTGAATGGATCTGAGGGCTGGGATAAAGTTTTTGGCATAAAGGTCAGGAAGGTTACGTATGAGCTGAATTCCCAGATAAGTGAGGGCCTCACCTTCCCAACGAAATGGGAATTGTTACTGGCAAAAAGAGACCAGGTCAAAAGGGAGAGTGATATTAAGGGCGTAGGACTTAGGATAGTTGATTTTGAGGTTCAAAATAAATTGAAAGATTGAAAAATCCTTAAGCAGATTGGGCAGGGTGGTCCGAGGATCCGCTAGAAACAATAAAATGTCGTAGGTGGCAAATGTATTCTTGAGCTGCTGCGGTAATACCCTTGATATTGGGGTTCGAACGGAGTTTGCGTAGCAATGGTTCTAACGATAATATAAAGAGGATTGGGGAGAGGGGGCAGCCTTGACGCGTACCATTTCCGAGAGAGAAGGGGTTCAATAAATGGCCATTAACCCGAA